ACCATGTTTCTCTTTTATTAGTGTAGATAGTAAATATCAATACACATACCCAGTGCTGGGCTGACGCTGACTCATGAGAGCTGGCTCTGTGCACTTTTTCCAACTTTGGGTTCAGTGTCATCTGCTGTTGGCTTGAAATCTGCCATAGTAGGAGTATTTACATTACAGAAATCATCAAAAGGTACAAATCAGCATTCTCCCTTTCCAAGATCTGGTTGTTAAACATTTATAGCACCCTACTGGATATAAACCACATAAACAAAAGCTCTTCGAGGTCACCATTAATTTTTAAGATTGTAAAGGAGAGTCCTGAGACTAAAAAGTTTGACAATTCGTTGTATGGCGAAAGGAGTACCTTTTAGTAATTGATTCACACAGAGGTGGATACCTTTTTTTAAATTTGCCTTTTGTGCTGGTAACATTTAAAGTATAGATCCTCCCAATGGTTTTGTTTGTTTGCTTGTTTGTTTTTTAACTTCTTGTTAAGTCTACTGGTTCCATTATGTGATAACCTTTTTATTTTCCCCAAAATCTAAGGTAGACAATAATACCCCAGAGCATGTGGGATGAATTTGCCCTTAGTATATACAGGGTATCCCAAAGAAATATATACATACACTTTGAATAATTGTAAAGGCAGTGTTTATTAATATACATTTCATTTTCAAAATTGAGCTATCAGGTGTTAAAGTGTGTATATATTTTTGGGGGGACACACTACATGTTGAGTGTCTTTGCCCTAGTTTCTCACTTTTCTGTTCCACTGTTCCAGGCTCATATTGAGGCTATGGCTTCTATACAAAGCCTTCACATATTGTTCAGGTCCATACTAATCTTTCTATTCTGGGCTTTCATGGCCTATACAATTCTGTTGACTTTCATGGCCTATATACCATACAGTGCGGCACTTGGCTCTCAACTGTTTGGTGTGCTATTTATTGTTTCTTAGGTGTTAGTTTTAGCAATTTTGCTTTTTACCCTAATGCTCATCACATAGGTTCTAGTGCATGGATAAAGATTTTCTTATTTTTGGATTGCTAAAGTTGTTTACTTTCCAAGGACATGATATTGTAAAAAAAAAATCTTAGTTGTTGTTTTAAAATATATACATATTTTTTATTGATTTTAGAGAGGAACAGAGAGGGAGAGAGAGAAACTTCAATGATGAGAGAATCATTAATTGGTTGCCTTCTGCACGCCCCCGACTGGGGATCAAGCCTGCAACCCGGGCATGTGCCCTGACCGGGAATCGAACTGTGTGACCTCCTGGTTCGTAGGTCGATGATGCTTAACCAGTGAGCCACACCGGCTAGGCAATCTTAGTTGTTTTAAACCCAGTTTTTAATAATTCTCTGAAAGTATTAGTATAAGTAGATTGGAAATTACTGCTGTTTCTTAAAGTGAGGTCCCACAGATGCTTTCTGCAAAATTTGTTTGATTCCATTACCACTCATAATGAAAACTGGCAGCTTATTGAGTAAGTCATAATGAATAGTGGAACTTAGTAAAATGTGGCAGTTTCTAAGAGTATGCTGACCAAATTGTTTACTAATTAGAAACTTGGAAGATTTTGAAACCAGAGGCATGGAGGTATTATTTTTCCAGTAGGGATCTCTGTCAAAAGCAATCAAGATATCTGTATTGTCTTCTTTCTGTGCAAGCTAAGTGATGGTTCTAGCTTTCTATCTGGATGCCCAAGCTAGGGGAGAGGAAACGTGTGAGAGGGTCACACAAGCTCCAAGGCATGAGCTTTTTATGGGTCAGAAACACTAAGAGCATGAGAGACCTTGGGATTTCTTTGGCCTGTGCCTTTTTTGTAATTATGGTGTGTGTGTGTTGTGGGGGAGCATTAAGGTAACTTTGCTATTTACATCAGTATTGAGAAAAGGCATTAGTTTGCATCTGGAATAATTCTAGAACACCACACCGAACATTTCATTTATTAAACAACAATTCACCATATTTAAGTTCTGTCTCCAGTTTCTCTTAAGAAGTTAGAGAGGGTCATTTATACTCTGGCCTGTTAGTAGTCCTGAGGTCGTAGTGAGGTAGTTTAACTGCTTTAGAACTTTGTGCTTAGAACATTCTTAGCCACCGAAGCATGGGAACCGAAAGTGAGGAGCATGGGTTCTTTACTATCTATCACATCAGAGAATGACTGTTCCAGGACAGTGACCACTTCCTAATGGTAAGTACCCCGGCTTGCTTATTATTTCTTGGAAGCAGGAAAAATAGTCCAGTTATCATAGTAATGATATTTCTTTTTTTAAAAAAAAGCAAAAAGAACAACAAAAAGGTTCAGCCTTAATCCTCAATCATGCTCATTTTTGCAGGTTTCTGTAGCTGGATCAGGCACCGGAAGAGGCTCCCCAGCTATAACTCTAGTACAGTTACCTTCGGGCCAAACTGTACATGTCCAGGGCGTAATTCAGACACCACAGCCATCGGTTATTCAGTCACCACAGATACAAGCTGTTCAGGTTAGCTTCCTGGGTGATTTGTCTTTGACTTTCTTGAGCTTGAGCTTTTTTTTTTCTTTTTCTTTACTAATTTATCCTCTTTTCCTTGGGTAGCTTTTATGATCAAGTCATTTTATTAGAGAATTGGAGGAATTTTTCTTTTACCTGTGAAGTGCATTGTACTCTGCTAGACCCATAGATTTGACTTAAGAGTTGCCATTTTGTTGTCAGTTTTTAATTTGCAGAATGAATAATGTCAGATAAATAATTCTTCACATTGTTACTCTTTGCTCAAACTCGGATTTATTTAGCAAAGCTCTCCAAAGGTGCTTAAAAATATTTTGAGGATTCTTTGGAGATGTCTGATAAACATGTTAATATAAAGATTATAGCACTGATGCTATTTTCATGAATAATCACATTAGTAGGTAGTATATTATTTTTAATTCAATATACATAATCCATAGAAAACAATTATGTATTGTCTCTTGGCCTTACGTTTATTCATCATATACTCCTTTCAGATTTAACCTTGGTTTTGTAGATGTGATTATTATTATGGTTGTGATCTGGAGATGTATTTTATTACTTCTTATTATCAAGATTGTTTTTATTTTTTTTCCCCCTTTTTAAAAAAATATTTTTTATTGATTTTGGAGAGAAAATGAGAGGGAGAGAGAGATAGAAACATCAGTGATGAGATAGAATCATTTATTTGCTGCCTCCTGCACACCCTACACTGGGGATCAAGCCCACGACCTCGGGCATGTGCCCTAACCGGGAATTGAACCGTGACCTCCTGGTTCATAGGTCAACATTCAACCACTGAGCCATGCCAGCCAGGCTCAAGGTTGTTTTTAAATCCTTAGCATTTTTTAAAATATACTTTATTGATTTTTTACAAAGAGGAAGGGAGAGGGATAGAGAGTAAGAAACATCTAAGAGAGAGAAACATTGATCGGCTGCCTCCTGCACACCCCCTACTGGGGATGTGCCCACAACCAAGGTACATGCCCTTGACCAGAATCGAACCTGGGACCCTTCAGTCCGCAGGCCGGCGCTCTTCCACTGAGCCAAACCGGTTAGGGCCCTTAGCATTTCTTGAAACAAACTTTTTTTTAATGCATCATCAATATAAATTATTAAGTATAGATACTTTTCTTGTGTACTGAATTTATTTCTCTTCTTTTTTTAGGTCAGTTTGTAATTGACCTTTAGATGCTAGACTTATTTGAACCTAATTGGTGACAAAAGTTCTTTGAGGGAAAAATAGAAGCACATACTTAATTAGTCTTGTTTTTCCCCTGCATATTTGAATACAGTTTATTGCAAAATAAGGATGAAGGCTGCAACATGATGTTTGAAGTAATAAATCCACATTCATTAAAAGCTTAGTTATCTTTGCAGCACCAGGTGTTTTAATAATTCTCAGTATTATCTTTAATTTTTTATTTTTTAGAATATATTTTTATTGATTTCAGAGAGGAAAGGAGAGGGAGAGATAGAAACATCAATGATGAGAGGGAATCATTGACCTGCTGCCTCCTACATGCCCCCTACTGGGGATTGAGCTCGCAACCTGGGCATATGCCTTTGACCAGAATCGAACCTGGGACCCTTCAGTCTACAGGCCAGTGCTCTATCCACTGAGTCAAACCGGCTAGGGCTTGTCTTTTATTTTTATCCTCCTGTTCCAAGAGTTTCTGACTCCAATAATAAAACAAGAAAATCTTTCCACTCTTCTTTTTGTATTATGACTTTTATTGGGGTGCAGATATTTCTTAGTTTTAACCTGGCTGGTATTGGAAGAAAGTATTGTCTTTTATACTCAGTAGGTTTTTTGGATTTTGTGAAATAGATGATTTAGGTAGAGGTGGATCTTTTCTTAAAATTCCTACCTGTTGAACGATGGACAACTCAATCTCTGTGTGAACTTCAGTTTTCAACTTTCTGAAATGGGTAAATTAACAGCTCACATAAGGAGGGTCTTATGATTATATGGGAGATGTGTGAAAGCCCAGTGTAAAGTGATAAGTTTTTGATGGTGGTACATGATTATCTGATTGAAACATTTTTTCTAATATATTCTATTCATTGGCGAGTATGCTTATTTGTGGGATGTCCATGACCAGGGATGCATGGTCATATGTGTAGGTGAACATGTATGCTCATCCTATATGCCTTGGGAAGTATATATTCCTGTTTGTATTGTTCAGATTTTAATAAGCTCTTTTGATTTTGTCTAAATAAAATTCCCATGTAATTGTAATATTAAGTAAAGTGAGTTTTGTGAACTCAGAATTATCTTAGGCCTTGAATGAGAAATGGCTGAATATAATGAGAGCAGTCATGTTGTAGAGAGATTTTTTATTTTAGTTCTCTGACTTTGTTTAATAATCATTTTATTGACTTGAAAAAAAAATGAAATCATGCTCAAAACTCTGATCTTTCCTTTAAGGAGAAATTCCTTATTTTGACCTTCAAGACCTACCATTATCAAGCCCCAACAGACTTGTTTACCTGCTTAAATATTCTTTCTTCTTTGGACCTATTTAATGTCTGATTTGAAAACCCAGCTCCAGTCAGCTGTGGTGTTGTGAAGAGGGCAGTGAAATCAAGATGCTTTTTTCTGCCTCTGTTACTGGCTCACTCACTCCCTGCTGGATATGTGAGAGTGCTTTCAGGGTTGGGTCTGCTGTATATTATATTTAGGCCTTTCCTATGAAGCCTCACTTGACGTTCTAACCACTCGTATTTGCATTTCTGTAATATTTATTTATTATCTTCACCATTCCTTTCCAGACACACTTGTTCTATAACTGAAATGTTTGTGTCTGTGCTTCCTTTCTTAAGCCAAGTGTAAGCTCCATTAGTGCGGTTTCAGTGTGTTCTGTTTGCTGGACACTTTCCGAGTACCTGACTTAATACTGCACACAGAGACCCTTAGTCACACTTTTTTTTTAAATTCTCATCGGAGGATATGTTTTCGAGAGAGACAGAGACATACCAATGTGAGAGAAACATGTCAATTGGTTGCCTCCTGTATGAGCCCTGACTGAAGCTTGAACCTGCAACCTAGGTATGTATGTGCCCTGATGGGAATTGAACCCACGACGTTTGGCGCACAGAATGATGCTCCAACCAACTGAGCTTCCCAAGCAGGGCCATAGTCACACTTTTTAAAATAAAGGAGATCATATCTTTTATGATGCATTTCAGAAACTCTTGTATTATAGGTAGCAACAATCACAGAGACAGATGAGTCTACAGAATCAGAAGGTGTAATTGATTCTCATAAACGCAGAGAAATCCTTTCACGAAGACCCTCTTATCGGTAAGTTAAGTTTCCACTGTAATGATACTTTTTTTTTAAAAAGGGAGAGTAATTAATTATACATCAAACCAATTCTTCCACTATAGATTTTCTAAGTCTCATTACTGTATCTTAATTATTTGTATTGTTAAATTATGTTTTAGAAAAATACTGAATGAACTTTCCTCTGATGTGCCTGGTGTTCCCAAGATTGAAGAAGAAAAATCAGAGGGAGAAGGAACACCACCTAACATCGCTACCATGGCAGTACCGACTAGCATATATCAAACTAGCACGGGGCAATACAGTATGTATGCTGCAATTCGATACGATAGTGCTAGCTTTTAAATCTTCTCTTGTTACATTGAAGCAACCTGGGTTTTGACATTAAATTGTTCCATTTTAAAAATGCATCATAATACCTAAACTGTGTATCAGAATGAAAAGTATATCTTAAAGAAGTGAGAGATTTGTATTGACAACTGTCATATACTTTTGGTAAAATTTTGTTTTTACTGAATATAGAAGAAAATTTTGAGTTTAAAATAAAGGGAGTTTTTTTCTTATTTATATGTTTATATTAATGTGTAGTAAAAATTTAAAACTTAACTGTTTTTTGTTGCCTTTATGATGCATGCAAACATAATAAGATACAAATGTCTGTATTTCATTCTTGTTGGCTTTTACTATCAACAATTACATTTTCTACTTACCAATTTAAAAAAGGACATATGTTTTCTAAATTATGTTTTTAAATGTAATTCTGTTTTCACTAGTCTACTGTGTTGATTTGTGCTGCAGTTTTTCCCAGATGAGAATGGAAAAATGTTTAATTTTTTAAAACTACAGCAATTAGATCATTTTATTTGAAATTTTAAGCACCAAAAGCTCTAAATAAACAGATAAATTCACATTTAGTCTTGTGCATTTTAATGGGCTATTCATTCTGTGCTTTTTGCTCAAATTAAAGCACTAGGTTCCCCACCCCCCACCCCCCCCAATCAAGACCATTTGATACATAAAAATACTTTAGTAAAAATGGAGCTCTAGGAAGGAAAAAGCGTGTAGGGAAACACGATAGAAAAAGGACTGAAAAAGAGCAAAGAAACCCACCAAAGCTGCTTAGGTACTGGAATATGTGTGATATTAAATACTTGTGTTTGTCCAAAAACAGTGTTAAGATTTTATATATGTTTTCTGTTTTCCTTTAAAAAGTAATAATACCTAGCCCTAGCTGGTTTGGCTCAGTGGATAGAGCGTTGGCCTGCAGACTGAAGGGTCCAGGGTTTGATTCCAGTCAAGGGCACATGGCTGCAGTTGGGGGCATGCATAATGTCCATCATCATTGATGTTTTTAATCTCTCTCTCCCTCTCCCTTCCTCTTTCCCTAAAAAAAATCAATTAAAATATTTTTTAAAGTAGTAATACCTAGAAAGTCTCAAGTCTTAATTTAAGACTTGTCTCTTAAAACAAGCTATAATCTCCTTTAGTCTTTGGGAAAACCTTATAGAGTCATTAGTTTTTTAGGATTTTTCTTACAGTGGTGGTAGATTTGCAGCATTAAACTCTCCTTTGGTAATTCTGATTCTGTGGGTAGCTCCTACATAACACCTGGCAGAATCGGGGTATAATTTGTCCACAGTCCCTACAGCAGTAGTTCTCAACCTTCCTAATGCCGCGACCCTTTAATACAGTTCCCCATGTTGTGGTGACCCCTAACCATAAAATTATTTTTGTTGCTACTTCATAACTGTAATTTTGCTACTGTTATGAATCGTAATGTAAATATCTGATATGCAGGATGTATTTTCATTGTTACAAATTTAACATAATTAAAGCATAGTGATTAATCACAAAAACAATATGTAATTATATATGTGTTTTCCGATGGTCTTAGGCGACCCCTGTGAAAGGGTCGTTCGACCCCCTAAGGGGTCGCGACCCACAGGTTGAGAACCGCTGCCCTACAGGATGCTGAGTGGACATGTCCTAAGTCTGTGTTAGGAAAGGAAAACTTCCTGCTGTCTGTAAGAGTTGGACCTTGAGGTTTTCACTGTCATTTCTCTTTATTACTTCTCAGATTTATATGCCTTTGTGTGACATATGGTGGGAGTTTTAGAACTGAAAATCAGAGTTTGCCAGGTGTGTGCCTTGGCATTGTGCAGCATACAGTGCCCACCATCCCCAGAGTGGCTGTGCAGGGCTTGCATGGACCTCCTGGGACCTCCTGACTGGTTAGCTGTACACATATTATCATTTTCTATTTGTGTTATAACAGGGAAAAGGTTGGAAATTACTGATTAAATAATGCTCAGGGGACATCTTAAAATTTGAGGAATTATCTAAGATGCCATCTTGAACATATAATTTTGAACATCATCTGGCATATCCTAATGCCGCTTAGGAATTGATAAAAGCAGTGATCTCTTTACAAGGTGATATGGACAGGGATGAGCAGTGGGTTAATTTGCTTAGATTATTAGCTATAATTTTGAAATCATGAAAACATTGGGTTGAGAAAATGTTGAAGCTAGAGATGATGTGAAGGCATCCTGTTCCTGTCATTTGCCAACTGTATCAAAACAAACTTTGTTTTTCCCATCTCAGGTTTTTAGTCTTTGAAGTGGGAATAATAGTAAATTAGCAAACTCTGGAGTTAGCGTGAGGACACAAGGAGATAACAGGTAAAAGTAGGGAAAAGAAATATGCTACTTTTGACATGTCACAGAGAAATGTAAGCTAGCTGTGGCGATGTCTCATTCACATTCCCTGAAGCCTTTACTTCTTGTGCTCTTAGTGCAGTTTGGAGAAGAGGGCTCAGCTTTAAACACCGCTGTGAGTTGGGGGCAAGCAGGGGTGCAGTCAGGAGCTCTGGTTGAAAAATTGAAAGTCCAGTGTTTAGAAGTTAGGCATTTATCTATTTGCCACATTAGAGGTCCTGGACTATCTCTTATTTAGGTTTCTTTTTTTTTTTTATTGCTTAAAGTATTACAAAGAGTATTGCATATGTGTCCTTTTTTTTTCCCCTGCCCTTGACAATCCTCTGGCCTCCCCTTGACAATCCCCTGGCCTCCCCTACCCCCTAGTGTCTTATGTCCATTGGTTATGCTTATATGCATGCATACAAGTCCTTCGGTTGATCTCTTACCCCCCTCCCTCCTGCCCCCCAACCCTCCCCGGCCTTCCCGCTGCAGTTTGACAATCTGTTTGAGACTTATTTAGGTTTCTTAATTTGGACACATACAGTATTGGTCCTGGCAATTATTTTAATGAAAAGTTTGTGCTGGTTCTATGTGTGTTGTCCCATGTAAAAATTGGCATTTATTGATTCACAAAAAATGGTATTGCCTATGTTAAAAATGAATTGTGTAAACATTTAGTAACACTTATTTCTGTTGATAATTCTTTCATTTGAAGAGTGAATATTAACATTTCAACTTTTTATAAGACATTTATTTTAATTGGCGGATAATTTATATTTACACATGCACAAGATCTGTTTTCTTTCATTGTATTTCTTACTAGGAATAACTTAATAGATATTAATGCTTTAATGTTGTGCCTAAATATCTAGAAATAGAAACAATCTGGTTTTAGACTAGTGAAGTTCATTTTACTAGAATTTCTGGAGATTTTTCTATGTATTTTCATGTACCTGTTTTTGAAACCCTTTCATAACCTTTTATTATAAAAATTAATTTTTTCTTTAACTTTTATCCATGGATGACTTTTCCCAAAACTTTGCTTCTTTTTTCAAAGATTATTATGTTAATAGTATTTTTAATCTGGTATAATATAAAATTAAAGTTAAAAACAAAAAGAAGTAAATAACTTTGTGTGTCAAAATTGAAGAAATAAAAATAAGTATTGCCCGGCCAGTGTTGCTCAGTGGTTGAGCTTTGACCCATGAACCAAGAGGTCGCTGGTTTGGTTCCTAGTCAGGGCATATGCCAAGGTTGCAGGCTTGATCCCCAGTAGCGAGAGACAGCCAATTAATGTTTCTCTCTCATCGATATTTCTGTCTCTCCCTCTCCCTTTCTCTCTTTCTCAAATCAATAAAAATATTTTTTTTAAAAGTAAGTGTATTCAGGTTTCCCCATACGCAAGTTGTTACATTTTTATGTTTATTTTTATTTTATTTTTTGTTAATCCTCATCTGAGGATATTTTTTCCATTGATTTTTAGAGAGAATGGAAGAGTGGGAGGGAGAGGGAGTAAGAGAGATATAGAGAGGGAGAGAGAACTTTGATGTGAGAGAGACACATTCATTGGTTGCCTCCCACGGGTGCCCTGACCGAGCTGGGGATTGAACCTGCAACCGAAGTACATGTCCTTGACCTAGAATTGAACCCGAGACCCTTTGATGTGTGGGGCTATGATCTAACCATCGAGCAACACCAGCCAGGGCTAAGTTGTTACATTTTAAATAGTTGAATGTTAAATATTTGACAGAAGCTGGCCTTGTTACTTCAACTTGATTTTTAATAACAAAAACTAAGAAGTGAAAGTTAGAATAGTCTTAATTTTTCTACACTGGGGGTAAGAAAAATAACTTAAAATGGGCAAGGATTCATTATTGTAACACCAAGAAAATGAGCTACACTTCAATATCTTTACTGAACATACAGATCTTGGCTATAGGTTTGTTGTAAGCCAATTAAATCATTCTGGTCAAAGAAAATCTATTTTGTCTCAGGAGAATATTTTTAAAGATGGTGGTTCAGAGGTTTAGAATTAGCAAAGAATTTACTTCCTGTGTAAGACATGAATTAAATGAGAGAGAATTCACAAATGCATAGTTAAAGCAACTATAGAGATTAAAGTGTTTGAAGTGTACTTCATTAAATTTTCTCTAAAGACTTGTTTTTTATCCCTCATTCTACTATACCCAGCCTGACCTCTTAACAAATAAGAACTATCACCCAAGACTTCAAATATTATTTTTCCAAATGTCCCTTGTCTCTGCTTGCTTCTACTTTATTTTACTAGGGACTTTGTTAGAATGAGTTTCTATTAACTCATTTTACTGGAATTCTTATACACTAAAGGTAAGTGGGTCAATCCAAAATCCACCATTATGAAGAAGATATAAATGAACTGTGTGGATTGCTAAAGAATTCAGAATTCTTAGGCGATTCATATGAGTAAACACAATTCCAATTCTTCATAATAAGAATTTGCACATGATAGGCTTACATATTCTAAAGTATATGCAGTTGCATTTATTTACTGTAAGTAGTGACTGCTTACATTCTACCAAGGTAATTGTCAAAGCAAACATAGAAGGTATCTACTTAATGTAAATCT